TACAGATGACCTGTAGGTGCCCTCTATGCTGGCTGGCAAATTAAAATGCCAGGGAGTATTCCTGGGCACTAGAATACAATCATCTGTATTGTAATTTCTTTCAGAATAGCCCCGCCACAGTTTTTGTCTTGGCCAATGGCAAATAATTTTCGGACATGGTTTGGAAGCTACCGTAGGCCAAGGACTATTCTCAGTTGGCCACTTGCATAAGGCCACTTTATACAGAAAGCTCGAAAAAACTTCTAAGCTTATAAATGAGCCCCCACAAATACTGGAAAACAGTATGCATGTTGGTCATTTAGTGCCTCAGAATTAGCGAACAGTCTCAGGCACGTAACATTTTCTGCAATAGTTATAGATGCAGCAAAAAGCTAGAGGAGGTTGCTTAGGATAGTCGCACAACCTGACTCCACAAGGACAAAGCAACAGAGAAGAAAGAAGATATAGCTTGGTGGTAAGTTGGATGGCTTTTTCCAAATTAGCCATTTATCAGAACTGAGTTTCCAGCATCTTCGGAGATGTGGGGGAGCAAGTCCCAGAGGCTCGTCCCACTGCCAGGGAATTAGTCCTCCACAGAGAGAACTGCACAGAGCGTTATCCTCTCCCAAAACTTCATAGCTGCTCAGCTGAAATAATTCAATACCTTCAAAGAAGAAAGGACAAAGTATTCATGATGCTATTTTCATGATAGCCATGATGCTATTTTAGGCTGTCCTAACTGAATTTACCTCAATATAAAAAGACTGAGTCAGCAGATATTGTCCCAATGGCCTAGTGTAACCCAATGTCAGAGTTCTTAACAGGGTTTTGACAGGGCAGTTTCTTTTATGCAATAGTTTGGCCTGTTGCCCCATACATACATATACCTCTACCATTTTTAGGGAAGAAACACAACCCTACCCACGGTACTCACAGAGCCGCGGCAAGGCCATTACTGCACTGCAACCATCGTAGAAGGGACAGGACAAAAGGGGTGACAGAGTCACTGCCCAGCCAGCCAGACCATGGCATCCCAGCATGGGCCCAGCCACTCCCTCCACTTGCCTTACATCCCCCTATTGCCACTGGCTCTTCACTTGGCTGTGAGAATAAAGATAATTGAGAGGGAAAAAGAAAAACGGGGTGAAGGAGGAGCCAATGTTAAAATGTCATTTTCTTCTTTTCATATCCCACAAAGATTATTCAGTTTCCCTTCGGTCCTCGAAGTGAGAGTGTCCAGCCTGTTAAGCATCCAGGATAAACAGTAGATTATGAACTCGGCAACAGCCTTGGTGTATATCTAAAGGAATCTCGGAATTATTTGAAAATTATCCTAAATTTTGTAAGACAGTCAACAGCACAGATCTCTACATACTCAGCACACAGAAGGCAATCCTCCTAGAGAAAACTGCAGTAATACTTACTTGAGAACTACAGACACAGGAAAGTATCTTAGAAACTCCCCCAAAATACAGATCTATAAACATCTTATGTGTGAATGGGTAGAAAGAGCATAAAAACTTTAGCAAAGGCATGTAAGAATGTCCATGCGGTAGTAAACTGACTTTCAGTACAGCATTTTGTTCACCAAAAGATACTAGATGCAGTAACTATCTGAAAAAAAAGACTAGGAACTTGATATGCCAGACCTGTGAATGATGATCAGCAGATACTGATTTTGTACGTCTGGGAACTGTTGATATTGAAAAACAATAATGTTTGCCATGGAAAGCATGTCATAAGCTACAAAATGACATGAAACATGACCTAACTATATAAAGTTTACAGCATCAAACATTTCAATCAAAACAAAACCACCAAAACCAAAGTCGCCATTCCAGCAAGGACCACAACAGTCTTTACTGAATACAAACGACAACATGAAGAAAGAAGATGGAGTGGCAGTGCTTTAGGTTGTAGGTGGTTTTAAAGTGCTCCTCATGGCTTTGCCCCAAGACATCCACAACTGGTCACTTCTGGATCTCAAACAGAAGTCTTTATTCCTGATGAACTTGAATGAAATCTCATAAAGTACAAATAAATGACATTTAAAAAATGACAGCATCAGCACTAGGCCCAAGAAAGCTTGCCTTCCTCAGGGTTTGTGTCTTGTGATCAACTGAGGGCTGCAATCAAATTTTCTTCCTATGGTTAAGGCATTTGTAAACACTTGCTGCCATGAGGATTCTCTTTTGCTTAGGAACATGTGAGGCCACAAATGCCCTTCTTTACAGGATTTCTCTCAGACTTTTCTTTCATCACCCAGGAGGGCATATTTTCAAACTCATTGCAGCAAAGTTTTTCTTTTTCCTCTTTAGAACTTAGCCATCTGTCAAGTTCATTTAAGTCATCTGCAGAATTATAAATTGCTGATGAGGTTGAGAAGAGAGGGGAGAAATAAACTAACATGTACAGGCCAAGTAATTGCACAAGTCCCATTCCTTTTGCAACCTGACTACAAAGAAGGACGACAAAGATCTTCAGTAACAGAAGCATCAGGTAATCTAAGTAGCATCATAAGGTAAACATGACATAGTACGGTTTAAAATTATTAGAACTATCTACCTGTTTTTGTAAGGTCATTAAAAATCAGTGGCTTGGTATGAATTCCTTCTGAGGATGAACACTCACCATGTTTACGACACAAAGACTGGCATGTTTGAAGCATACATACGAACAGATCCAGGAGAAATCCCAAATGCCCACTGATGATGGATGTAATGATTTGGACGAAACTTACAAAGGGACAATTTGTTACTGTTGGTTAACCCTTCCTGCATTGACCAACAAAGAAAATTCCAGAAATCAACCAGCAGCACAGTAAAACTGTTGCAACATGAAGCTGTACTTTGGGACTCAGAAAATCCAGTCTGTGAATATCTTGAATTTGTCACTCCACAGCTCATTCCCCAGCTATAAACTACAAGCAAATCATCAGTAGCTATGACAATTCCCACACCAACATGTTGTCTGAGTAGACAGAGCATCCGCATAACATTGTTTATGAAAATCAACATGAAAGTGCTAAGAATTACGAACATTTTAATAAATTAATATAAATAGGTCATTTATAACTTTATGATAATGGAATTAAAACACAACAATATCAATGAACATGGATTTTTATATATAAAAGTGTTGTTTATTGTAAGGAAACTTTAAATATAACCAACAATATTGAAAATATCGTGACTGGCATTTATGGCCTTGATTGTAATTTACTGCTGTACAAGTAATTTCTAGCATTTTTCTTAATCACATCAAGCTAGTGCAAAATATAGGTAGCTTTTAGAGATTAAGCATACAGAATGACAAGAGTGTAGATTTTGGTTACCTGATATTTCCTTCTAGTATAACAGGCTTCTCTTTTTTTCCATAAATCAAAAGTACAAAGGCAAGTTATCATATGTGCAATTATTCATACCAGGTTTCTAGGTAAAAAAAAATGGCATTTGTAAATTTTCCTCAGATTGCATTTTGTTAGGAATCTGACTTATAACTTATACCATACTGTATGATATAAATTATACATTGTTATTATATAATCATAATTTCACATACAGGTATGATTATATAAATCGTCAGACCTTGTCACTAACTATAGGATAATAATTACATCAACATACACAAATATATGGCATTAGAAAAGTCATTATCTAAGAAGGAAAGATGTAATTCAGGTGTTTGAAACAGGGCACAAGCAGCCTTCCTTGCCAGATCTTGTAGTACCAGTTTAGCAGAACTCCTGCCAATCGCCATTATGTGCACCAGCTTTCTACGTACATCAACAGATAGGTCAGTAAGCAGGATTAAAATCAGCTTGTGTCTGAAATTTCCAGTCACAGATCTTTGTAAGCAATTAGACCTGTGCTACTAATTAAGATGATATTCTCCCTCCTCAGTCTCAGAAGGTATCCCATGCTATTATGGCTAAAAAGGTATTATTTTATGATGACCTGCAGGTTTCTCAAAGCAGGACAGGTTAGCTTTAACAATGACACATTTTCCAGTCTTGTGCAAAGCTTCTGAAGTATTGATCTTTCAAATTACTATTATTATTACTCTTTTTTTTTTTTTTACTCCCTGAAGAATTTTCAAGGACAAGCTTAGCTTAGCATGGCTTTTGATATCAATCACTTTAGTAATTGAATCTGGTCTTTGATAGCTAAGACTGAGAGAAGAGAGATATAAAGAGATAATTTCATTTGAAATAGGTAAAAGATTTAACAGAATAAAAAAGGTAAGGTGTAAAAAAAATTAACTCGAGAACAAGCATAGATAGAGAAGACAGAATGCATAAATATAAAACAAGGGAGAAGGAAAACGGTATAGGTTATGTATGATTAGGTAGAACATGACAATGACTTATGCCTTTGCTTTTAAAGCATTAAGGTTAATTTGTCAGCTGTCCTCAATCTAGACTGTACAGAATACATGTAACTAATAAAAAATGCAGTTTATTGCAAAAATATACAAGTCCTCTAAATTGCATAAGATATTACAATGTCGTGCTGAAACATGACGTATTAAACAAAGAGGACTTTAAAACAAACTACAAAATGTTAAAAATCAGATTTGGGTCGTGAGCATTACACAAAAATGCATTGTCATGCTTTATCTTACGATTAGTCTTGTGATTCACTACACCTGTGATAAATGCAACATAAAATCATGACACCTGTAATAGTCAGAAAGTAATATCTACTGTATATCTTCTGTATTAATACATATAAACACTTGGTGTGCACTAATACTTTCAACATATCACATTCAAACTAACAGTCTTTCCAGAAACGTAACCTTTGCGAAGAACAGAAGCTGGTTTAACAAGTTTATCGCTCGTGGGTTTTTTGAAATCTACTCTTTAAGGAACCGATGTGTTAAAGGACTTGATTTTCAAAGGTGCTGTGCTACTATGGGTCATCTTAGTGCCAGAAGAACCATCGATGCTAAGCAGTTTCAAAAATCAAGCCCACAATTTATTAAATTCCTGGTTCGTTTACTAGTATTTCCACGGTATTAAGTCAAAAAAAAAAAATACCCCAAACCCACTCTTAAAATCACAGAAAATGCTTGGCATCTATAGGAAGAGAGACAATTTCTCAGTGGACTAACCACTACTGTGCTATATTCTCATAACAGATCTCGTCGCTCCGATGTTTAGTTCACGCACTGGTATCGGCAATGTCCATGTTTGTTCCAAACAGAGCAACTAGCTGCTCTTCATAGTTTGCAATGTTTCTTTTCAGAATTTCCTTACAAGGTCCCAAAAGCCTTTCAAATGCCTGCACATCCATAACTAAGAAAAAAGAGGAGAGAAAGAATATATGGTGCTCATTAGCTGCAGGCACTAATCTTGGTGTTTATGACATTCCAATGTAAAACCGTGATAACAGGACAGACACTACTGAGACACATACTTTGCACAGAAAAGAACCACTTACCGTAGCAAACCCAAGATCAACGCATCCCTGTCTCAAAACTTCATAAATAAACTTAGAATTTGCTGCATTTCTTATTTTGAAACTACTTTCATATTACAATTTACATCGCTCAAGAGCTGCTGAGATTTCAAAAAACCACATCCTTTGCTGATGATGTTGGCTGTATTTGAGGTCTAACTTAGCATATTTCCTTGCTACTTTTACTTGATTCCACCCATAGTGGAAATTTATTATTATTAGTGCAAATTTATTACTTATTTCCCAGTAAGCATACGAAAAGTTGGAGACGGTAATTCCCATGCAATGCCAACGTGTAGCCAACCAGGATATTTTCTTTACCTGATCGAATGATGTTATCTAGCTAATAGGCCAGAGAGGAAACATCATACTCCAACCAGCTTCCAACCTGGTGGAGGAGACCTGTAGTCTCTTGGCTCCTGAGAATAATTCAAGATCTGGGCTGTTTGGGAAGTGCCGGAGATCTTAGGGAAACACCCATACTGGGTGACTGGACACTCTTCTTCCCCACTGCCTCTTATTCTTTCCTTTCTGCAGTCTGTGATCTTGATTGCCTGAGCATCATTGTGTGTTTGGAGAAAAAGATTTTAAAAAATACTGCCTTTATAAATAACTGAGAAATGTCTTGGTTACCAGCTTGGTAATCAAACTGTCATTCAAGAATGCCAAATCTGTCTTTGCAGTTTTCCCATAATTAGATACTAATATTTAGGAGCTGAACATTAGACCATGAAAAGGAACAGATGTGAAGGGTTTTCTATGAGCACAACTCCTTTGGTCTTTGCTTTTCTTGTGCCTGAAGCTGCAGTATGACAGAATGATTAAATTAACACCTGGTGAAGACAAAGAATTTTTTAAAGCTTAAGTCATGGTGATAAAATGGGACAGGACTTTTACCATAGTTATTTCTTGGATGAGTCAGTCTACTGAGAAAAGAAGTACTTCACCTTTCTGCAGAGCATTAGACATCTATCTGATAGCTATAAATGGTTTGCAGCAATACTCTACGTACTGACCTGAAGCAATTCTTACTTCCATGCAACCAGAGAAATGTTGGAGAATTTGTGCTTAACACCAGTTACCAACTGCAAATAATGTTTGCAGATAAATAATGTGAATAGGAATGCACTGTAACAGATTATGTGCTCAAACAGTCTTATTTAAGTAAATCTAATTAAATCTTGTATTTTGGAGAAAGATAGAGTTCACAGTAAAAACAACCAGATAAATTATATATCATCTTATATTAGATAGAAAATATTATTGAACAATACCTAAACATTTGACAGTGCCAAGAGCAAATGCAGAGGCGGCTCGTGGTTTGTTAGTTACAAGAGCAAGTTCTCCAAAATATTGTCCTCTTGAGCATCGAGCTATTTCAACTGCTCCATTCTCTTCTACATCTTGCTTACCCTGAAATATCAGGTAAAAAAAGAAAAACAAAGGAAGAGAGATTTGCTGAACTCAGGATTACATAAGCAAAATTAGTAAAAATGGTAGCATTGCTGTTTTACACTTAGAATACACCAAGATTTTAAAAAAAAATAGAATTCTGTGTTTCAGGGATGTTTACCTTCCTCGTCATTATAATCCTTACTTCTCCAGATTCCACAATGAAGAAAGAATCAGCCAAGTCACCCTGTAGAAGAAAAAAAAAATAAAGTGAAAGAAATGTGAAATGTCCTTTTTATTTTCCCAATAACATTAAAATATTTGCAGCCAATGCCTTGAAGCTCATCTTTTTGATACCTGTTGCAAAAGAAATCACTTTTAATGTTAAAACCATTCTGACCTAAGTCGTTCTTTCATTGAAAACATCTATACAGAACTGACAGAAAAGCCTTTTCATGAAAATACATAGCTGACTGTGTCTTATGCAAAAAGCAGAGAAAAACAACGTTATGGAAGATTCCAGGATTCTTACTCCCGTTTCTCCACCTCTGTGTTCCTTCCAATTTATTACCCTTACACAATTTGCAGCATAAAAAGCCTTTGGTGGCTATTTGACCTCCAATAACTATTTTGGGGCAAGACAATCTCAGCTGCCTACTCTGAAGAGTTTAGTTCTGCATTCTTCTTCAAAAGATTATTATATTCTAACAACAAAATCAAGGCAAGTCTTCAATGCTCCATATTGGAAGCAATCATTTGTTTATATAGTTTAAATTTTGAAGGACACTTTAAAATGTTGATCCCTTTATTCATACCAACGAAGAGGGATGTTTTTCAAGTACTATAAGTGAAAAATTAGCTCCTGAAACAAAACAATCCCTGCTCTTAGAGGTGGGGTTTTTTTGTCTGAGAAAGAAAAATATAATTTAAAAGTATGTATTGTCTACAGATAACATAATTGTTACCTATTGGAAAAGAAAAACTAAAACAAGAAATATGCTGTACCTGAGCAATGATTTGTTCTCCATCTTTGTACACTTTGGTGCCAATCACATCAACCACTTTTAAACGCTCCGATACCTTAATTTAAAAAAAACCAAACAAACAAAATGTAAGAAACATTTGGTTAACACTACAGAATTTTATATAGAAAGCCCTTTTATATGTCTTTCCATGAATCTTTGCATAAAATAGCATATCTGATTTGATAATCATTAAAAAAAGGGAGAACTGCCAAATAGTGTTCCAAAGGGTATGTTACAGTCTTAACAGCTAGATGTTTTGATACAGCTTCCATTTTTGTAAGAAATCTATATATGTCAAGTCTTCAATAACTATTTTCAGAGAAGCATGCATGTAAAAATATAGCTGTTAAATTTAAATAGGTTTAAATTCCCTAAGTTGTTGTCTAATTTTATTGGCTAATACATAGTAAAACTAAGCTTAAGAAAATGAAGGTAAAAGTAAAAAAAAAAGTTTTTTTTAAAAAATACAATATTAACAATAGTTCTTCAACCTGAAAATTTAGAAATATCAAAAATAAGGTCTTTCTCCAAAACAAAAGTATGCAAAATTTTATTGTGGAGAAAACCTGAATTCTGTATTTAAACTGTGCAAAAGCAGAAATCTATCAGGCGCCTCTAATACAGCCATCAAAATAATGCAGTAGAAATCTTACTTCTAAAGATTTAAGGAATGGCAATGACTCAATAAAATTTTCATACATTCTTCTCTTTTTGGCATTATTTTTTACAATGATTCTTCGGAACGTTACCCTGTCCTGTAAACACAAAGAGAAAAAGAGAGTTTATTAACAGAAATTACGTGTGTGATAGAAAATACTTCAGAAATGGCTGAATATGTTCAAATTGCCCAATTTTAGTCACTCGATGCAGATGTTAAACTATCTGGATAGTCTCCCCGTGCAGTCAGTTGAGAAAGATTCCTCAAGAGGTCGATCAAGAGCTCCTAAAGTTAAGCTCCTGATCTGATTCACGTTGTGAAAAGCTTCTCTACCCTTCGGCAGAGAATACTTATAGAGGAGTAAAGGGTTCACCTGAAACAGGCTGGCTACACAATGAACGCTGAGCAGGTGATTTAAGATATTTAAGAAATCCTTAATATTTAAATATTAAATTCCAAAGTTCATCTGTTTTCCTGAGGTCCCATACATATTGCCATGGACTCAAAGTGGGGTTTATATTGTAATACAAACAAAACTGAAATATATGGGTCTGGCTCTTAGGTCACAGTCCATTTTCTGCTATTTCACTGCTGCCCTAACGAGCCGACTGGATATTCCTTGGGATTGGGCAATCCAAGTGAAGCAGACAGATGGAAAAACTACGAGTATGCTGTTTTCTTCTCTTAACTTCACATGACTGTGTCCTGCTGACAGACAAATGCTTTGCAAGCCTTCCCTGCCACAGGTGGGACTGGCCGGCCAATGCAACCTAAGCCAATTTGAAGCCATTCTTACAGTGTCCTCAACTGTGCTATGATCCCAGAAGTCCTATGGATTAAGCTGGTGAAAATCCACATATTTTGCTTCAAAACGAAAATGTTAATCTCGGGATCAGTCATTAGATTGATATGTACATCCTGAAGAAGACGGCTCTTTCGGTAAATTCTATTACTGTTCTCAAAGATCCAGACAGTACAATACTGATAAATAACCTCATATTTGAATTTTGCTCTGGAACTAAAGGCATTTCCCATCGAGATGTGGGAAAATATTTTATATATTTGTCTAAATAATTGTCAAGTGCTGTACAATTTAGGAATTTATCATTAGAATAAACCAAAATGTTTTTTTTAAAAAGCTCAGTGTTTTCTTAAGCCTCGGGTTTGCTTCTAAAGATTCTGGAAAAATATTGTGGTGGGAGTTCTCAGAATTTTTAAAATGAAACTTTCAGAAATTACGTAACAAATTTTTTTCATGTTGATATAGCATAACACTGCAATTTAAATAAAACAATCAAACCAAACAATATCTTAAAACATGTATTTCACTTACCAAACCCCAGATGGCACCAGGAGAGGTAGCTATAATTGTAGCTGCTCTGGGTGTGTTGTACATTAAGGCCAACTCACCAAAACATCCTCGGTTATCGTAGGTTCCAACACACCTCCCAACGCCATCGCATTTTACATAAATGTCATATGTACCTCTGTTAATAAAATATATACATACAGTGAGTGGTCTTAGCTAAGCAGCCTCTCACTATATTTTTTTAATCATGAATTCCAAAGATAAAACATTTGAAATATTCATTGGTTTGTTTACGTGATATTAAACACGTTGCAGAGATATCTCAACCACTTCCATAAAGGGAAGGATAGGGCTAATAGTTTTTACATTAATTCAGTTTAAAGGCAGACTGGAGGTACAGTCTTCACCAGAACTAATTAAAATTAAACTCTAACTTAGTACCTTTTTCTTAATTTCATTTTAAACACACCAAATACAAATGTAACAAGTCTTTGCAAAAATTGCTGTGATATGATCACTGAAATAATAATATTTAATTTTAA